GAGAGAATTTTCAGCCTGGGCACGTGGTAGAGAAGCAGAGAGCATGCAGTGGTGCAGCCCAGCAACCATTAGCTAAGATTAGTACAAAGAAAAGGGATTATCAAGAGAAGGGGAAAAGGGCCCTGAAGGCATTGCAGAAGTCTCTCTGGGGCCAATCCTTCCATTTCAGGCCGAAAGACCTAGAGAGACAAAATGGTCTTGGGGAACAGACCTGAGGCACCCTCCACTAGCTTACTGCTCAGGACCACCTTGAGAAGCTGCTTCCAGCACCCCAGCTGCTTTAGCTGCTCCAGCTATGGCTAAATTGGACCCAGGTATGGCTGGACCCACAGCTTTGGAAGATACAAGCTGGAAGGGAAGCCTTGGCAGTGTCCACGTGGTGTTAAGTCTTTAGGCTCACAGAATGCCAGAGCTATGGAGGCTTGGGAGCCTCCACCCCTGATTTCAAAGGATGTATGGAAAAGTCTGGGGGCCCAGGAAGAGATATGTCACAGTGGCAGAGTCACCGCAGACAGCTTTCACTAGAGCAATGCCAAGCAGAAATGTGGGATCAGAGTTGCAGCAGAGAAACCCCAACAGTGCCAGGCCTAATGGAGCCGTGAGAGTGGGACTGCCATGGAGACCCCAGACCAGTGGAGCTACCAGAGTGGAACACCAGCCTGGGAGAAGTGAAGTGTGGCCTGAGACCAGGAAAGCCATAGGAGCAGAGCTGCCCAAGGACTTGGGGACCCAACCCCCACACCAGCATGCAGAGGAGGTGGAACATGGAGTCAAGGTACATGATTCGCCAGCTTTGAGATTTAATATCTGCTCCGCTGGGTTTCGGCCTTGTTTGGGACCTGTTACCTCTTTCTTTTGGCCTATTTCTCCCTTTTGGAATGGGAACGTGTACCCTATGTTTGTCCCACCATTGTGTCTTGGAAGTAGATAACTTGTATTGATTTCACAGATGAGACTTTGAACTTTGGACTCTTGAGTTGAAACAAGTTAAGACTTCGGGGATGAGATGAATGGATTTGCATGTGAAAAGGACATGAGTCTTGGGGAGTCAGGGGTGGCATGTAGTGGATTGAATTTTGTCCCCCCAGCACTCCCTGAAGCTTGAATTGTGTCCCCCAAGTTTTTTAGAAAGCCCCCACTATGACTGTTAAGAGGGTGGGAAATTCTATTATGGTAATTGAAAGGTGGAGCCTTAAAGCGATTGGACTGTAGAAGCATGCAGTATGAATGGATTAAAAATGGTGGTCAAGGGCATGGTTCTGAGGGCTTTAAAAAGAAGTGTCTGTTTTTCTCTTGCTCTGCTCTCTCTGCTTCCACCGTTTTGTAATGTGAGACCCCTGGGTCACTGTCACCACCACCAGATGGACTTTGGACTTCCCAGCCTCAGAAACTGTAAGCAATAAATTTCTTTTTCTTATAAATCACCCAGTTCTGTGTATTGGGTTATAGCAACACAAAAAGGACTAATACAGTTGTGTTCTCTTTTATTACAAATTTGTATCATTTCAGTGCTCTCTCATTCTGTGATTTTAGTAAATTGCAACATAGGGGCAATGCGATGAGTGATAGCAAGTAAACTTAATTTTCCCTGTACCTTTCAAGTGTAAGACTAAACAAGACTACAGAAATGAAGGTGTGACATGATTAGAGAATACTAAAATAAAGCATCTCTTATGCAAGCAGTAATGTTCTTTCCATTACTATTAATATCTATAATTAGTCATGAAGTAATTTTTTCCCAAGATGAAAGTACACAAGATTATTGTGTTTGGAAGCTTCCTTCTGAGGGGACCTGGAACTACTTTTCTCTGTGCCAGCCATGGACAGCCATTAGTCCTTAGTGTCTTTGGTCCTATATTGACAGGCTTCAGCCTGTTTCCACTTGCACTCATTTATTGTAACTGACTAGTGTAAAAACAAAACTTCCCCAAATGATTGGCTCGTTAATTGACTGATCGGATGTACATTTTTCACTTTTTAAAAATTGCCCCTGAAGCTTGAATTGTGTCCCCCAAGTTTTTTAGAAAGCCCCCACTATGACTGTTAAGAGGGTGGGAAATTCTATTATGGTAATTGAAAGGTGGAGCCTTAAAGCGATTGGACTGTAGAAGCATGCAGTATGAATGGATTAAAAATGGTGGTCAAGGGCATGGTTCTGAGGGCTTTAAAAAGAAGTGTCTGTTTTTCTCTTGCTCTGCTCTCTCTGCTTCCACCGTTTTGTAATGTGAGACCCCTGGGTCACTGTCACCACCACCAGATGGACTTTGGACTTCCCAGCCTCAGAAACTGTAAGCAATAAATTTCTTTTTCTTATAAATCACCCAGTTCTGTGTATTGGGTTATAGCAACACAAAAAGGACTAATACAGTTGTGTTCTCTTTTATTACAAATTTGTATCATTTCAGTGCTCTCTCATTCTGTGATTTTAGTAAATTGCAACATAGGGGCAATGCGATGAGATGAGTGATAGCAAGTAAACTTAATTTTCCCTGTACCTTTCAAGTGTAAGACTAAACAAGACTACAGAAATGAAGGTGTGACATGATTAGAGAATACTAAAATAAAGCATCTCTTATGCAAGCAGTAATGTTCTTTCCATTACTATTAATATCTATAATTAGTCATGAAGTAATTTTTTCCCAAGATGAAAGTACACAAGATTATTGTGTTTGGAAGCTTCCTTCTGAGGGGACCTGGAACTACTTTTCTCTGTGCCAGCCATGGACAGCCATTAGTCCTTAGTGTCTTTGGTCCTATATTGACAGGCTTCAGCCTGTTTCCACTTGCACTCATTTATTGTAACTGACTAGTGTAAAAACAAAACTTCCCCAAATGATTGGCTCGTTAATTGACTGATCGGATGTACATTTTTCACTTTTTAAAAATTGCATTGAGGGCCGGCCCGTGGCTCACTCGGGAGAGTGTGGTGCTGATAACACCAAGGCCACGGGTTCGGATCCTATATAGGGATGGCCGGTTTGCTCACTAGCTGAGCGTGGTGCTGACAACACCAAGCCAAGGGTTGAGATCCCCTTACCGGTCATCATGAAAAAAGAAAAAAAAAAAAAAATTGCATTGACTTCATTTTTTGTTTATAAAAATTTCACCTTACATTTTATAAGAAAAATGTACATAACCAATTTTACCCTATTAGAAATCGTTCAACGTTTGGCATGGGAGTCCAGAGGATTATCTGAAATGAGTAAGTGATGTAGTCCTGCTATTTTGTGACTATTTCCCAGTAACTTCTGGAGCTTCGGTAATATACAGAGGAACTTTGAATTTTAACCTAAGCACCTCAAATGTTACCTCCTCAGAAAGATCTTCCCCACACCCTCATTTTATTACCTATGTCTGGTTCACAACACCACTCACTATCAGATGTTACCTTATTTACTTTAGTCTCCTCCCCTAGAAAGTTTTCTTTTTTTGTTTACTTGGATCTGCACTGCCTAGAATTTAAACGTTTTTGGAATGAAAAAAACTAATTTCTTAATCTTCTATAAATAGTGCTTTAAAAAAATCTTGTAACATTGGAACTCAACATGTTGGCCACTGACACATTGTCAGAGTTATAAATTCTGCCTATTACTTTTACATTTTTCTATATGTTAGGACCACTTATTTACAGCTTGAACTCTAGCTGCAAATCAGTGGGAGTTCGTAGCCACTTGAATAAAAGAAAATTTAATTTGTATGCCGTTAAATGAAATTCTCAAAAAATTATTTTTATCTAGCCTTCCAACCATATATGTCATTTCCTGACATCCACATTTCTCAGAGAATTGTATCTCATTGTACGAAATTCCTCATCCTGGAGGAGTGGTTGAGTGGATGGGGATGCTGAAAATTTGTAGAATTAGTGTGATCCAAACCCTGATATGCTTTGGCTCCATGGATTTAATAAGACTGTAGAGTCATTTATAAACAATGTTTTTCTTTTCTTTTTTTGGAAAGCGTTTTCCCCGTCATTTGTTACAGTTTCACAGTTCCTCCGTTCTCCATACCTAGATATTAAGATAGAGTGTTTATTAAAATTCTAAATAATCAGAATAAAGGGTTAGATATTTGTACATATATGCCCTCTCTAGTCTTCTTAAGTTTCACTTCTGATTTTGTTGGTTACCAAGGAAACAGCCTAACTCCTGAGCCCCCAATCTCTAGCTTTTTCAAGAGACTAATTCCGGGTGTCAGGGTTTGAGGCACTAGTGGAAACTCTGAGGGCGGTTGCCCACAGCCTCTGGCCAAGGTGGTCTTTGCTGGGAGTCACGGCTGTGGCGGGGTCCTGGCAGATTCCTTAGTCCCCGTGAGCCAGCCTCCGCGCTCTCCAGCTTTTAACCCAAACTTCTCTCGGTCTGGCACGGACGAATACTGGCGGGTCTGGAGCCCCGGGCTCAAAGTCCAGCCCTTGCCGTAGCCCCACGGGCACACTCGCGCACCTTCTCTTCTCCCAAGTGTCGCCAACTCGGCCGAGCGCCGGATGGAGGTGCGAAGCCGCAGAAGCAGGGGGGAGGGGAAAGGTCGGCGGCGGGGGAGAGTCGGTTGCCCGTCGTATCCTAAGCACCTCTCTCTGTCGTGAGTGCAGCTGCATCCCAAAGTCCCTGGCGTCCTCCCCGCGCCACCCTGCCGTAGCCTCAGATGGTCGGTGACAGCCCAACGGACACGGACTTGGACCCGACTGCGTTCTTTCCACCCTCCCCTAGCCACCTTCTCGTCTTCTGCCCTCCGTGCACGCCCCGCCCCGTGAGCTGCCACGTGACAGGATCTCTTAGCCAGACCGTGGGAGCCAGCTCCGCCCCACGCGCCCGCCTTGACCCTGCTCTGCGCGCCGCCACGTGATGCGGCTCCCCCCCAGCCAATGAACGCCGGCCTTGACTTGCGCCCCGCCCCGCGCGCCGTGGCCGTTTGAAGTGACTAATTTCTGTCATATGACTGAGGCGCCCATGGGGGTGGCGGGGCGGCTCTAGGAGCGGGGGCCTACCAAGCGCCCAGCGAGCGACCCCGGCCTGGCCGTGGCCAGCATGGCCCCAACGCTGTTCCAGAAGCTTTTCAGCAAGAGGAGCGGACTGGGCGCCCCCGGCCGAGACGCCCGGGATCCGGATTGCGCGTTCAGGTAGGACGCTGCGGGACGGGGGGCACAGGACTGATGGCCTTGTGGGCACCGGGCTCTAGAGGTGTTGGGGCCTTCGGTATTCAGATCCGTGCTGGAGCCTTGCGCCAGGACCAGAACCTGGTCCGCGGTGGGGTGGAGCGGGCTCCGGACTTGTGCTGGAGGGTTGGAGCCAGGTCCTGTCTTCCCATCCCATCCCCCGCTGTTGCCCCTTCCCCTTCCTTGGGTTGGTTTGTTTACGTCCTGGCCGCAGCCACGCGCGGCTTTGCTCCTCCGAACCTAGCACCGCGGTCTGAGGCGTTGGGTCCACACGCCTTTCTGGCAGCGAGTAGAGTTGGGCGCGGGCTGGATTGGATCTCAGCCGCCGTCCTCTGGGCCGACAAGTTCTCCCCTCCTCCCCGTGACCAGTCGCCCTCTGGGCGCTCCATTCCAGCTCGGTTGGCGTTGTGGGGAGAGCAGCGCGTTTGGCTAACCTTCTGAGTGTAGGGAATGCTGGAGGAGCGAGTAGGCAAGGTGCCGTTCTTTCAGGTTTCTTGGAAACTAAAATTGGAGGTGTACAGTTACCGGACCGAGCGACCTTAATGTTATCGAAGGAGAAATGTGAAACCTAAGAGGTGAGGTTTACTACTGACCAGTCTGAAGCAGGACCGAGTCAAATGAAGCCTGGCGTTAGAATTGGCCGTAGAATCTACTCCCTTAGAACAGTTACTGAAAAATTGAAAACTGTAGCAGAATGTTTTGTGATATTACAAGGCTCTGTTAATTTTCGGTTGCAGTACCTGTTGCTGGTAGAATAACTTTTTAGAATATAAACTTTTTTTGATGTACACCTGGATTCAAGGTAAAATTTAGTCGTGAAACTGCATTTGAAGAAAAGATTGTGTCTTTCAGACAGCCTTTATACTTATTGCAATGTGGAAACTTGTAAATAAAAGTAGGCTAAACGTCAAATATCATTTAAACTTGGTAGGATAACAGAGAGCCCAGTTGTACAATAGTAGGAACAAAAATGAGAATCTGTCAAGTTTTGCAACAGGCAAAAGTGTGAAATGATTGTGTCACATTGGTTTTTTGTTAGTCTTAAAATTATTCACCCTCTCTCGCTCATGCAGGTCACATTAGGAAACATTCAGTAAATATGAGAGCACTTCAAAAAATTCGTTGAAAAATAGAATTAAAAGGTATATGAATCTTTCCACGAACTTTTTGAAGTAGCTTGTACTTGTGGAATTGAAGTATTTAAATAGAAAGAAATTTAACTGACTTTTAGAGGAAAATTATCAGTTGTGAATATCTTGGAAAAGTATTTAGTAAAATACAGTTTTGTAGTTATTGGTTTTTTCCTAGGAAATGTCTTGACGTGTTTATCTGACTTTCTTTAGATTTCTTTAGTATTTTTCTTTTGAAAAAAATGAAAGTGCGATCTAGATAACACTACATTGAGCCATCCAGTAACCCAAGAGACAATAAGAAGCAAGTTATGGAAGGATATATAAAAGGTGACATTTGAATAGGCAACTGCTTTCTATTTCTGAGCAGAGATTGACTTTGGGTACCCAGGTTTACAAGGGTCTCAAGTTACTTGTGAAAAAACATTTTCATGTCTACTGTATAGTTGTGTAATACTACTTTACAGTTGCCAAAGAACTTTCTCATCAGTTAACTCATTTGATGTTTCACAACAACCCTGTGAGATAGAGCAAGTGGCAGTATAGATAACTATATTACCTTTTTCCAGTGTAAGAATTATGTGTAAGCCTAATAACTGCTGTACATTATAGAAACAGTTGCTTTAAAAATAAAATGTGTACAAATGTACATGTGAGAAAATGAGAACCCTAGTTAAGGAGTGACACACAGCTAGTAACTTGCAGATCTAATCAACCCAGTTCTTTTTTTTTCCAACAACTTCATTGAGCTTTAATTTATATGAGTATAATAAAATATAAATACATTTTAAGTATACAGTTCTATGAATTTTATTATATGTATACAGTTGTGTACCCACCACCTGATTGAAGTTTTAGGACACTTCTGTCACCCATAAATTTCCCTAATGCTCTTTTGCCGTTAGTCCCTAACCTCTCCTCACCCAGAGTAATTACTGATAGGCTTTCTGTCATTAAAAGTTTTGACTTTTTTAGAATTTCTTATAAATGTAATCATACTGTATAAAGTCTGGTGTCTGGTTTATTTTCACTCAGAATGATGGTTTTGAAATTTATCCATGTTGCATTTATAGTAGTTCCTTTCATTTTATTGCTGAATTGTATTTCATTGTATGAATATACCACAATTTGTTTATCCATTCACCAGTTTGAGGATGTTGTGAGTTGTTTACAGATTTGGGCCTTTATGAACAATGCTTCTGTGTATATTTGTGTACAAGACTTCAGGTGGGGCCGGCCTGTGGCTCACTTGGGAGAGTGTGGTGCTGGTAACACCAAGGCCATGGGTTCGGATCCCTATATAGGGATGGCTGGTTAGCTCACTTGGGAACGCGTGGTGCTGACAACACCAAGTCACCAAGTCATGGGTTAAGATCCCCTTACCGGTCATCTTTAAAAAAAAAAAAAAACCAGACTTTATGCAGACATATATTTTCATTTCTCTTGGGTGAATACCTAGGAGTGGAATTGCTGGGTCATATGCTAAGTATCATGTTTAACTAACACCAAGTCACCAAGTCATGGGTTAAGATCCCCTTACCGGTCATCTTTAAAAAAAAAAAACCAGACTTTATGCAGACATATATTTTCATTTCTCTTGGGTGGATACCTAGGAGTGGAATTGCTGGGTCATATGCTAAGTATCATGTTTAACTTTTTATTTTATTTTATTTATTTATTTATTTTTTTAAAAGATGACCGGTAAGGGGATCTCAACCCTTGGCTTGGTGTTGTCAGCACCACGCTCAGCCAGTGAGCAAACCGGCCATCCCTATATAGGATCCGAACCCGTGGCCTTAGTGTTATCAGCACTGCACTCTACCAAGTGAGCCACAGGCCGGCCCATGTTTAACTTTTTAAAAAATTGCCTGACTTTTCCAAAATTGTTGAACCATTTTGTATTCTCAGTAGCAATGTATGAAGGTGACAGATGCTTCACAATCTCTCCAATACTTGATACTTTTAGTCTTTTTTTATTAAAAGGTTTTTATTGTGGTAAAAAATACATAAGGTTATCTTAATTCGCATTTCTGTAAGATAATGTTCAGCATCTTTTTATGTAACCCAAGTAATTTTTTTTTCAATTTTATTTATATTTATTTTGGTGAGGTACATTGTGTTGTTTTAGTGCATACATATACTGCACAATTATTCACCTAGGTAACCAAAGTTTTTGAGTAGACTAAAATTTAGTTATCATGCTTTTCTTTCTAGAATCCTTTTTTAAAATTTTGTTTTGTTCTAGTTAGCTTAAGCGGTTAAATCAGGCTTGGGCACAGTTTGCCATTTACAACTAACTGTAGCTCAGTCTCTAAGAGGCAGTTCCTAGAGTAACCAATATATAAGACTCAATGGTGATAAGCCACATTAGGACTATGGAATAGGAGAGACTTTTGATAAAGAAGCCATGGGAGCTTTTCAGTATTGTCTTTCACGGTTTTCCCATTGGAAAGGAGACAACCTCCTTCTCTTCAGTTTTCACTCTTAGAACTCTTACTGTCCTTACTGTATAGATTTCTGTGTGCTTTTCTTTTCTAAGCTTCTTGAGCCAAAGATGAGCTTGAAAGATATCATGGGGAGGGTATTTTTTCAGTCATTTATAGAATTGAAACTGTAATTTAATTTTTCTCATTTAAAGAATGTGGGGAAAAAAGGTGCTTTCTAGAAGATACCGTGTTGTTTTCTCCATCAGACTGCTTTCCAGTGGAAGTAAAAATTAAGTGTAAGCCCAGTGACCATAGTACATATAAAAATGATTGCTTAAAGCAATAAAATTCTTGAAAAAAATCTAATTTGGTGAAGAAGGTTGTTTTAAAGTGAAATGTCCGTAGGATATAATTCAAGTTTCGCTGAAAAAATAATTGCTATATTTTTGTTATATTCCTAATGTATGAACATTCACTCATATTGTCTGTAGCAGGGATTCTTAACCTGTTTAAAAAACCTTTTGATTGGTCTTTTTGCCAGCACTCTTGCCTTTCTCCAAACGACTCTCAACACTTTGTATTTTAGAAAAATGCAAATTCTGATTATGGTCAGCAGACAAAATGGTATAGAATTTAATAATCTTCATAATGGTTATTTTAAGGATTCAGAGATAAGTCATGTAAAGTACTTAACGTGGTGTTTAGCACATGGCTTTCAGGAACCAGAAGTTGTTATTATGATGGTGTCACTCCGTTGGGTAAAACCATTCAGTATGGGGCCAGACTCCTTAAAGACGGGCTTTAGCCATTCTGTGTGGTGTGGTTGTTGCCAGTTCTCTAGCCTTGACTTTTTTTTCCCCCAATAAGGTAATTTTTTTAAAAACATAGCCACTATACTATTATTATACTTAACAGAATTAACAGTAATTCCTTAATATAAGCTATTCTTAGTCCACATTCTAATTTTCTCAGTTGTTTCAGAATGTCTTTTTTTTTTCTTTTTTTTTCCTTTTTGTCTTTTTTCGTGTCCGGCAACGGATCGCAACCCTCAGTGTCGCACCTGTAGCAGTGCGCCACCGGGCCGGCCCCTTTTTTCTTTTTTTTAAAGATGACCGGTGAGGGGATCTTAACCCTTGACTTTGACTTTGGTGACGTGGTGTTGTCAGCACCACGCTCTCCCAGGTGAGCTAACCGGCCATCCCTATATAGGGATCTGAACCCATGGCCTTGGTGTTAACAGCACCACACTCTCTCAAGTGAGCCACGGGTCAGCCCTCAGAGTGTCTTTTTTCGTGTCCGGCAACGGACCGCAACCCTCAGTGTCGCGCCCGTACCGGACTGGGACCGGCAACGGGATCGCAACCCTCAGTGTCGCG